CTTTGCTTGATAAAGACTTTTCCGATATCCTTTGCTTCTCTTGACTTGCTTGTATCTATCTTTCCGTCTTCATTGGTGTAAAGACATAATACGGCCAGAGCTGTACCAACAGAAAGATCTTTGCCTGTTGGACAGCATACAAGGATGTTTCCGGTCGTCGGTGTTTCAAATGATGAGAAAAATTGTAGAAGCTGAGGCAGCTGAGTACGCAGATCACGCGATCCTAGTTTGCCTACTTGACATTTGAGATGTAGATAGCGCTTGACTCCAGCTTCCTTGAGCCTTGAGGTGGCGAACGGCTCCGGTGTGCAGCTTACCACCACTTCGAAGCCCGCAAGGTTCATCTGGTCACTAGCTGAGATGTGCAGTTTCGATGTCGGCTTGATCAAACTTGCGACTGCACTGCTACCCCCCTCTTCTTTGAGTAGTCTTTCGATCAGGGCAGGCACGTCTTCCTCACTCGTTTTCATCAAAGCATCTTTATGCTTCCAGAACAGTGTCGGAGTCAGCCCGTGCGACCATGCTTCGTGGTCATCAGCGGCACCCTGGATGTACCCGCTCTCTGATGCCTCGGCACCGCGCACACGTCGTGAAGCTGTGCAGAGCACGATGGGATGAAAGTCCGGAAAAGAAGGGGCTGAGTCCGGAAGAGATGATAGTTGTGTCGCCCAGATCGGCCTCAGTGGTTTCTGTAGCTTACTGCGAAGTTCCGAGATGTTTGGCTTGCAGATTTCCTTCTCTCGCTATCAATTGGTATCCTCGAGAATGTCAAGACAATATACGCACCATAAATTGTCGCACGAACCCATCTATCTTCGTCTCTATCTGCGCATGCTCACTTTCGCTCACCGCTTGCGGCGGAGAAAACAATTTCACTTCTCCTTTTTCTTCTCTGCCAAAAATAGCCCTGTTGATGACACAGCACCATATGGGAATCGTTTTGCTCAACGCGTCTGGCATACTTTTCCCCCTTCTCGTACTATCTACAACCACCGCACCCCCATAGCTCTTTACGACATCTAACAACTGTAAGTTCAGTCTTCTCAGACTGAAGCTCCATTCACCCATATGGCCGTCCGTGCTTTTGAAATAGACAGATCCGGATTTCTGAGAGGGCGGAATATACCAACTGCCACACCGCTCATTCGCCACTAGAGGCAGATCATAGGCGGACCCGACAGATGTGATGAATTCACTGTCTGAGACGATGGAGGCGAGGCGGTTTTGCGTTGATAGTGTTGAGCGGCGTAGAGAAGAGAGGGTACTGGAGAGGTTTGGTGTGTTGGAGATATGCGGAAATATGATATCGGCCTCTTTCAAAGGCTGCGACATCTTAATTGTTGGATATATCAATTTTCCAAGCCAAAACTTGACAATGTTTGTGCCGGTACAAGTCAACTGGCTGCCCCCATCTAAATACCCCGCATCGTGATTTGTTTCGAAGAGAAAGAAGCCCTGGCAAAGCTGGGATGAGAGGGACTTGATGGGAAATGGGTAGCGAGGTCCTGGAATCAAGGAATTTCGTTCTAACTACCGTTCAGCAGTTGGGTTGGGAGGCAGATCTGCCCAGGAGAAGGAATCAGATGGCCAGGCGCTAATCTATAAGAGGTTAGTGCCAAAATCACTCGACGCGAAACTTGAAGGTTGCCCAGTGCGGTGTAGAATGCTAATTTATTCATCTATAAGCCTCGCATAATCGCTAGAACAACAAATCTGCCATCTAGTCCTGTTTAACGAGCGAGACGGGCGCGATGTAGCTGTTCCGTGCACTAACGAAATAATTGACTGTAGCGATTATCGCCATAGCGCCAAACATGAGCGACGCAAAGTTCATGTCAGTAGTAGAGGGGTTCGGGACGATGGGGAAGAAAGAGAAAATGAAGGACACTACCAGGAAAGCAAGAGCAAGGTCATTGACGATGCCTCCAAACTTGCCCAAGCTCCAGCGTCGAGGCAGCAATGGCTCACCGCGGAGACGCTTCAATCGGACACATCCAATCGATATGATGTAGGAGAAGATGAGGGCAGCGTTAGAGATAGAGACGATGGCGTTTAGAGCGACATCGGAACCGAAGTTGATGCATGCGAGCACGCACGAAAATCCCAGGCAAACAAGAAGTGCATTCACGGGAATGTCCCAGCCGGCTGGTACTCGCTCAATCCACGCAGAGAACGGAAGTCCTTTATCGCGCGCGAAGGCCCAGATCTGACGCGAAGAAGCCGCAGTGACAGATACTGCTGCAAAGAAGACAAGAACGACGAGCACTGCTCCCATGATTTCTGTGCCGGTAATGGAGCCTGTGGCGTTGTATACGGCTTGGAGAACAGGTTGTCCCGTTGGCGATTCTAGGACCGAGTCGAGAGCGCCGCCGCATATCACAAAAGTGATCATCTACAACAGCGGACATGACGTCAGTATATGCGCCGTATGCAGGATTATACTCATGTTTCCTTACCATGATGCATCCAAAGATGCCATTGAAGAAGACAGCCCACATCATCGCTTTAGGAAGTACTACGGAGGCATCTTTCAACTCCTCAGACATATGGGCACCCGCATCTGGACCAATGAAGCACCACAGTGGGGTTGAGAGGCCGACTAGTGCAGACACGCCCATCGAGCTCCACTCTCCTCCATTCGTCCATGTCGTGAAAACCTCCTCCGCAGGCGAACGCTCCGCCATGGTCCAAAAAAGGATCAGGAAGGCGAAGAAGGCGAACACATGCAAGACAAGAACGATACCTTCAGCGAGAGGCAGATGTTGTGCCAGGAAGATGTTGAATCCAACCATGAGTATCAACCAGAGCATCATCAGAAGCGTGACGTGCCATAGCTTTCCGATTTCCGCGTCTGGATACGCGAGGAGGACCATCCCAATGACAAGACTTGAAAGCATTTGCGCACATGCGGGGATGCCACTGACCCATCCAACGGCCGCAGACCATCCTGGACATACTGTTAGTGCATTGGGCACAGTCACGCAGCTCAGTCCGCAACGTACCCACGATGTAACTGAGCGACTTCTGGAACGATGGTGGTGCGAACTCGCTGACCCAATGATATTGGCCACCGGCAGTTGGAGCCATCGATGCCATCTCAGCGAGAGATGCGATCATCGCTAGGACGAAGATCCATGTAATAATCATCATCCAGATGACACCTGCTGTACCGCCATTGAACAGCTGCAGAGGTGAAGACATGTAGTCAGTACGTATCTCATCTGCATCTTGTACAATTACCACTTACTCCAAAATACGCAGATCTTGCCGAAAGTCAGCAGGGGAGTATTGTCACAACAGGAAAGAACTTACAACAGAGCACTTTCCCATGTTGACTGCAGGACCACCACAAACCCGATGATGGAAATCAGGCGAAAATTTCTCTGATTGTACAATCAGCAGAGCTACTACATACAGGTTTCGGTAAGTGAAAATACCCGCAGTTCCTGTTTCTTGCCCATCCTGTGCATGTCCGAGGCATCATGAGCTGTGCCTCCCAGCGCACTGGCATGCATCCTATCCGCTGCGCTGGAACCATTGCTTCCGATATCGTACTCTTCAGCATTCGCAATTTTCGCTTCCCCAAAAATTGCCATTGTGTGAAGCGCAGGACTGCAGACCATCGACAATCAGCGAAGGTAAGGGATATCCTAATAGGAGAAAGATGCTGGGCGGAAGAACCTGTCCCAGATGCTGTTTAAGCGGCCTAGATGCAAATTCTACTGGCAAAACTTTACATGATGGGTGCAAGCCGTGTGCTAGGACTGGGAATCAGCTGCCATTCTCGGGATGATCGCCGGTTCATGTGACAGGCCATTTGGAACGTGGAGGCTTTAGCGAATCAATCCAGGAAATGCAAGCGTTGTGTAACCGATGTCACCTAGGACGCGGCTTAAGTATACAGGGATCGCAACTCAGATGCAGTTTACGCAAGGGGCGCCAATGCTGTCTATCAAAGAGGTTACCCAATGCGCCAGGCCGGTTTGTGTGCATGGCAACGTGGGTGAAGCTTGCCCAGGTAGGGACGTCGTGTATCGAGAGTTGTAGGATCTCAGATGCTTCCTGCAACTCGCGCATTCTAGTACTGATACAACAAACGTAAGCTGATTGGACGACGACAGCGTTGTAGATCGAACAAGTGGGTGGTGGATGGTGTGGGGGGCCCGTCCCGTGGCTACAGTACTAGGCAGAAACGCGCCTCGGTGTCAACCCACCGCATTTCCCCTGTTTGCACAGCAACACCACACTTCCCCGAGCCGCGTACGAATCCTTCGCGCCTTCTACGACTCCTCACACCTCTTACAGTTTCATTGATGACATGTCACTTTTGCTGCAGATCCGCGCTAGTAAAAGTTAAGCGTGCGCAAATTATGCTCCGTCATTTCGTCAAGGGAGTCCGGGTGCAGTCAAGCACTCCGCGTAGGGTGACTGCCAATACGTCGTGAGGCTCGCCAGTCGAATTATAGCAGCCTCTATATTATCACGTGTTGGGTTCAATGTACTGCAGTTCAGCACTGCGTCGAGAAACGATAGGCTCTGGCACGTCACGATATAGTGGTATATTAACATGGTTATAGACAGCCTATAGCGGACCCTATGGCATGATACACCATGTACTCCCATCTTAGCGCGTGCAACTGGCAACATGATCAATGCACTGTCTTCCGACCCAGTGGCGCCGAAGGATCAAAGGACTGACGCAGGACAGGGTCTGGCCTCGGCCACTGGTTAAACACGGAAGAACTCACGATTGGAGAGCGGAGGCAAGGTCCACGCACCTATCAAGGGGTGGCGCGACGCGAAGTCTACTGAAAAAAAGTGCTCGGTGGGCCTGCGGTTGCGTGCGAAACGAAGTCGTCGCTGGGATATAATACTAACACGGGGTTGTGATCAGCACCGCAGCTTCGGAGACGACGCCACAACCAGCCCTGTGTGCTTACGCCCCGATGTGACAACGTAAGAACTGAGCGTTGTTCGGCATACTTTGGTCCGACAACAACATGGCAGACTATGAGGTCGCGAACGTGCGGAATCCAGGACATGCAGCTACTTTGAAGTTCACCATCGGTCTCTGTTTATGCTATACACTATGTGTAGCATGTCTGCGCGGGTTTATTCGATGGGGAGCCTATGGTATTGATGATCTCTTCGTGCTACTATCGGGGGTACGTATGTGTCTCCATTGTCAGATGTGACTAGAGAGCATCGAACACCTTATTCTAACAACTTTCAAAATAGATATTCGCGCTTAGTTTCTTCGGCATCGTCTTTGCGTCCATATCTGCGGGACTTGGTCACTCGATAAATGACCTAGACCTCAATTCTGCTACTATCGAAAAACTCAATGACTACACGATAGCTAGCAACGTCCTTTGGATCATCTCGCTATGCGTCTCAAAGGCCGCGATCGTCGCCATGCTCTTACGTACGACACAAACTACATTTCACAGAAGATCTCAGTACTCTGCTGGTGCTCTGGTAATTGCTCAGTGTTTAACGTCCATCCTGCTTCTGACTGTAAAGTGCTCAGCTCAGTACGAACTGGCATGGAGCATAACCGCCGCGAACCCCGAGTGTCCCCAGGCGGAGAGAAGACGGTATGCCCTAACGGCTCTGGACGTCATGACGGAGGCTCTTCTACTATTTCTCCCCATTCAACTGGTATGGAACTTGCAGATGACTTTCCGAACAAAATTCATCGTTGTATCAGCATTTTGGCTGCGATTACCGTACGTTTTGATGTCTGATGGTGCTGTAATATCCGCTAACTATCCTATAGAACCCTCTTGTTCTCTGCTCTTCGCCAGAGGGAGATACTCAGACTTGCTGCTTCGTCCGACATCCCGCTTGCAGCTGCGATGGTGGTCATCTGGCAGGCCATAGAACTCTCATTCTCCCTCGCTGCAGCTACAATCGCTGCGCTCAAGCGATTCACGGAATCTCTCAGCACCGGGTTCGGTCATGGTGAGCTCATGCGCGTACACGGGTCGTCTCAAGGATACAAGTTGTCAGCCCGAAGTGCTACATCGAGAAACACGAGGGAATCACGGAACAAGCTACCTCGCTCGAATGCGCACGACATCTCTATCGATACAGTCTCGTCCCAGGAAGAATCCAGTCTTGAACAACATGTGACGCGAATGAAGCTTAGGCCTGAAGCACTTCAGAACACAGCTGTAGTCTCATCGCCTTCGAAAAACTTAGCCCTTCCCAGTAGGAAAAGAAATATGTCAGGATCAGAGAACAACATTATTCGTCAAGAAGTACAGTACTCTGTTCATTACGACTAGGGAACCGCGTGGCATTAGCGATAGTTGGCAAAGCACCCACGCACGTGTTCAGAGTGCCTGGCCATCGAGAAGGAGCACTTCCGAAGCGCCTTTTTCCAGTTAACACAGCTTCTTTCTCGTGGCGCTGAGAAGGTTTTCGACAACCCATGCTTCCACAACTCTAGGTGCTTGTTGCATCTTAGCTGGTTGCCCAGCTCGTTCCTCACTAGGCTAGATTCCGACTCACGGTCCAGCCTTTGCTATTTTTTCTTGGGCTGTGCACCATTCAAGGACTTTGTTAGCCCTCCTTCACACTACAACCCGCCAAGCATCCATCTGCCTACAACCTTGATCACCTTTTTCTCTGCTGCTGCCGAAGCAGCATGTAATATACTGGAGGATAGTTTGCGAGATGTGCCCTAGCCTGTGGGGTGTATCGTGTGGAAAAGTCCAATTCACGGCTCTCGTCTGATGTTCCAGATCACAAGGGATGGTTGTGATCCGTCTTCACTAATCAGACGTTTGACCAGCATTGGAGCGATACTTGGGGGAGGCTATTGCTACCGGAAGTAGACAACCAGAGCGTACGACAACATTCCTCTGGCTATAAAGTCCGTGCTATGGTATTGGTCTGTCTTTGTCAAGACGGGTGACAGTAAGACGGACGAAAGAGAGCTACAGATGGGTTTTAGGTAAGAGCAGATAATATACATAACTAATACTGTTGTGCTACCCGTAACTGGTGCCGTTCACCGACATCCAGGTCTCGGTCCTTCTGAGAGCACGTGATCGATCACAAACTCTGGTAACATCAATATAGAACGGATATGGATATATGGTTGATGCCCAGACGCAGAGCCACAGGGGTCTTCAAAGGTCATTTCAAGATTTTGTTGGATTGCAGCAGGACTGTTAGGGTCGATAAGGGAAGCCACCGTAGAAGTCTCCTCTGGGCTACTTACGATACACATGTTTTTCAGAGACTCTCCATCATCTCAAGGTTTTCAGACGTCCACACAAGCTCAGAAATTCTCCTCAAGCGCGAGGCTTGCGAGGCAATGGCGCAGAGCTTCATATTGGCACTACGACGAAATTGGAATAGGCACGCTTTTAGCGTATCTTAACTCTAATTATCCGACCACTCCGGCATCCACGAATATAAACCACCTCACTTTCCTCAACCACTCACATTTTACCCTTCGAGTGCTACTGCTACCGCCCTGCAGCATTTCCAAATCTTTCGCTGCCTTCGATGTTTCGGATGTTCTTTTTTCACACACGCCCGTCCATGGTAGTGGAAGTGATGTACCGAGAAGCGTGCCGTCGAGTTCGAACATAGACTGCAGTGATACGATGCCTTCCCACGACTTCTCAGCTGACCGAATTTGAATACTTCACCATACCGCGGGTAGCGCTAGGTGTCATGCGCGGTCCTCTCATGGGATTGTGTGCTGGCATTCATCCAGTGCGACAAGAGATCGGGGAAAATACGTGGTGCTGTTGACACGAAAAGCCTCTTACACAGCGGTACAATGCGCCTTCGTGCGGCTCTCCATATTGCGGCATCCTACCGTATTCTCATCTATTCTAACCAGGCAGCCGCTCGTGTCCGGAAGCTCTCTCGGTCCCCGCTTTCTAGAATCTTACCATAGGCGCTCATCCTGTATCACACGACTTTTGTTCAGGCATATTGAATCGGTAACGAGACTTGGCTATAATGCTGACCAGGTCCCTCGTTCGCCCCAACATTTGATTCGGAGTGTATCAGGATAAATGCAAGATTAAGGAGCCTCCAAGTTTGACCCTCATCAATCTCGACTGTCATGTGTTCATTCTAATCATTCGAGAAGGTCTTCTGCCACAGTTTTCCGGGTCGCCTTCGCGTACCTGCTTGTATTATACCATAGGCCTCTGATGTCTAATCAACAGCTGATGCAACTATATTGGACGCGCTGATTCGCGTCCTTTTCACTCCAATCGTGTCAGTCACAGCTGTAGTAATGAGGAACTCCGCCCGTACCAATCGCACGATGCAGTCAATATACCTCTTGAGGGATCAAATAGCTCGCAGATGCATTGTTCGGTCCGATATCATCTCCCTCTGAGTTCTCACCTGTGGAAACTGCAACACCTGAGAAGCGGCCATAGGATATGATCACAATTCATAAACAGATGACATGTTCGCGAGCTCTAACCGCCAATTATGATCACCCGTAGCAGGACCGGAAGTCAAGCGCGAAGATCGCGGGGTAAGAGACCCGATGAATGGCCACCCCCGCGACCCTATGGTGTGTCATGTAAACGTTCATCTATTTACCCTGTGGATTTGACCCAAGCAACCGGAAACGTAACAAAGGCGATGACAGGCAACGAGTAAAGAATGTTCTCGTTGAAGACGCCGGATTAAGTACCGAAGGAGTCGCTCAAGATACAACCTCAGTGATGGCGTATTGCGAGATGACAATGCCTTATCAGCGCAAAGCCAGCTTCATGAAAGTTTCTAATACATAGATCGAAGCCGTTCGAGGATGTTCGCTCTCGCCTCCCACTTGACTAATATCACTTGACTGGAAGTTTACTATAGTACCATGCTACTGCTGATAATCCTTCATCTAAGCCTCATATCTCAAGCGCCGATCGCACAGACCCAAGCCAAAGACTAACCTCCGCGTTCCACGGGCCTACTTCCTGATGAACAGGTATTCCAGTGCTGAGTTGGCACGCTACTAGCAGCATACCACCCAAGGGCGATATAAGAAGCTCTCGATATCCCCCAAGACTTCCAGCATCGACACATCCAGGTACCCAAGCAATCACTTCAAGACGTCAACATGAAGGGTCTCTTTTCTTTCGCTGTGGCTTCGGTCATCACCGGCGCTTTTGCGCTTCCTTCTCCTACTGAGAATGGTCCTATCACTGCTCGTCAGGCTGCAGCATGTGCCACTCCCGTCACCCTGTCCGGAAACCCCTTTGCATCCCGTTCGATCTACGCCAACAAGTTCTACTCCTCCGAGGTTGTATCTGCGGCTGCTCAGATGACTGACACTGCCTTGGCATCTGCTGCTCTGAAGGTCGCTGATGTTGGAACTTTCCTATGGATGTGAGTTTGTCAGCTCTTTCTTTGCATGATATCAAACTAACGAATGTTTAGTGACACCCGTGACAAGATCTCCGTAGTTGAGGACGGCATCAAAGACGTTCCTTGCGGCGAGATTGCTGCGCTCGTCATCTACGATCTGCCCGGTCGTGATTGCGCAGCCAAGGCCTCCAACGGTGAACTTGCCGTAGGCGAGATCGACATCTACAAGACGGAGTACATTGACCGTAAGTCTCTCTGTTCCACCGAACGCGACTCGTACTGATGACATGTTAGCCATCGTTGCCATCTTCAAGAAGTACCCCAACACTGCCATCGCTCTCGTCATCGAGCCAGATTCCCTGCCCAACCTGGTCACCAACTCCAACCTCCAGACCTGCAAGGACTCTGCCTCTGGCTACCGTGAGGGCGTCGCATATGCCTTGAAGCAACTCAACATGCCAAACATCGCCATGTATATCGATGCTGGTCACGGAGGCTGGCTCGGCTGGAACGACAACCTGAGTAAGCATGCTCCCATCACCTCCCAATGGCCAACTCATTACTAACAACGTTCCACAGAGCCCGGAGCCAAGGAACTCGCCACCGTCTACAAGAACGCCGGTAGCCCCAAGTCCGTCCGCGGTGTCGCCACCAACGTCGCCGGCTGGAACGCCTGGGACCTTTCCCCAGGAGAGTTCTCCAAGGCCACCGACGCCCAATGGAACAAAGCACAGAACGAGAAGAAGTACATCGAGCTCTTCTCCCCTGAGCTCAAATCCGCAGGCATGCCAGGTCAAGCCATCGTCGACACAGGCCGCAACGGTGTTACCGGTCTGCGCGAGGAGTGGGGCAATTGGTGCAACGTCAACGGTGCTGGATTTGGTGTTCGTCCCACAAGCAACACGGGATCCAGCCTTGTCGATTCGTTCGTGTGGGTCAAGCCTGGTGGCGAAAGTGACGGTACTAGTGACAGCTCAGCGACTAGGTACGATTCTTTCTGCGGCAAGTCAGACAGCTTCAAGCCGAGTCCCGAGGCGGGTCAGTGGAACCAGGCATACTTTGAGATGCTCGTCAAGAACGCTAAACCGGCTTTGTAAAATCGTGGCTTTTCTAAGATCTCATTGACAGAACCCATGGCATAAAGGAGGAAAGAGTTGATGCCTATCGAGGGTAAGCCATGTTGTATATAGATCGATCATTCAGTGGAAGGAAAACTCGCAAAGCAAAACTATCATTTGAGAACTTCGCTTCAACTGTCTATATATTAGCATAGTCCCAAAAAACTAAATCGAACTCCTGTTTGATCAGCACCGTCCTTTTTATCTTTGAATGTCAGTCTGTGAAGCAAAAACAAGCCGGTCTAACATTCTGTTATAGTCAGGTCTTGGTAGCGTGGTGTCAGAGTTAACGTGATATCATTCCACCGCTCTCTAAATATGCCAGTGTTTACCTAGCAAGATGAGGTTTACCTAAAGGAGTGCGCCAAGTTGATTTTTCCCTTTGCCAACCCATATGTACGTCCCAAAACTCCGCGTGTGCGCTCACGAAACAAAGCTATGCTCGCTCGCTCGCTCAGATGCCAAAAAAAAACGCCTTGGTTTCGCCTCAAGATGCATCACAATCCAAGCCGGTCCTGTATAACGCTAGAGTCAAGCCGCGAGGCTCTTCATGTAGTGTAGCGTGTGCTGTCCGTTCATGTTAATTGATCTCGATTCTAACATCAATGCCATCGTCTTGTGAACTCAATGTTCCTTCGGTTGACGAGTTCTGTCGGCTTAGCGACAGCTCCAGATCCTGTCTTAGGCGTGAAACAGACTGATCGTCGGAGTCGTCCTAAGACATCCGCCTCCTCCTGAAAGGTTCTTCCTCCTCCTCTTCCTCCTTTTCTTCGTTGACCTGCAATGTCAACCATGCAGCAACTAGGGCACAGACACCACCAAAGCGCAGCACCCATGCCACACTTGTATCGCCTGCTGTCCCTCTGGGCTTTTGTAGAAGCTTGAACATAATGGCGCTCACAAGTGTGGCGATGACCTGCGGTGCTGCGATGGCGACGTTGTGAATTCCCAGAACGACACCGGCAGAATCGGCGCCTGAACCGTCATCCTCGCCCTCGGCGATGAGCTGTGATTCGCGGTCACGAGGCTTGATGATACCACGGCGGATGGCATCTCTCTTGGAGATCTCGGAAGAAATGATGGCAAACGGCGCCCAGTTGGTGACACACCAAGGAATGCCAATAGCACCGACAAGGACAGTCGCTCCCCACGTGCTACGAACGAAGAAGGTAAGGGCCATAAGTACAGTGAAGAGGATGTGCGATATGAACCAAGATCGACGAAGGGTAAGCGACTTAACCTGCAACATCTCCATGGACCTAGATATTTTGTCCATGATTGTGTTCGAGTCCCTCTTGGGGGCGGGCCCCAGGGCAAAGTAGCCGGAGCCACCCATAGAGTGTGGTGTCGTCGGTGTCATAGGCGTTGCCGGTGTTATCGGACGGTCGGGTTCTGGGGCTTGGAATGTTGGGGGAATGACGAATGGCAGGAAGACGGAGGCGAAGAATGTGGTGATGGCAAAAATCAGCAGGGCTCTGGTGCCAATTCTCGTACCATTCTCCAGAATCTCATCAATTTTAGCGTCCGGTAGATGGGGGTTCTCCTCAAAGTAGGGATCGGCATAAATCTCGCCGACGTAGGTGGTAATGTAGAAGAGGAACGGGAACCATCCAATCCAAGCGAAGAATTGAACGGCGCAGACCTTCTTGATCTGGGGAGGCAGTTTCTTGACTGAGCGCGCGAGACCCTTGAAGAAAGCGATGACACCTTCCTTCTGCTCAGCTGGTGCAGTGTCGAATTGAGGATCGCGTTCCGAGCAGGTTGAGCAACTGATGCCGACCGTGAGGATCATGACAAAGGAGGCGATAGCGCACAGGACCTTGAACTGTGTGCCACCGAGCCAGGGAAGGTAGTCTGGTAGGTTGATATAACCTGCCAGGTAGCCCAAAATATTGCCAATACCAGCGGAGCGCATGAGCCATGCATTGGCAGACTCTTGTTGATGAGTGGGTGCTACATCGACGATGTATGCTCGTACACCGGCTTGGATGACGTTGATAGCGAAATCCAGCACGTATACGAACAAGACGGCGAACAGCATGATGCATGTCTTGACACCATTTGACTCTGGGTCAGCACCGAAGAGGCCTAGAAAGCCACCGATGATTTCCCTTGCCCAAGCGAGGACCATGAGAGACACGATGGTTGCAGCGGCACCGCCGATGATGAAAGGCCTCCGCTTTCCCCAGCGCAGACGGCAGTTGTCACTCTTGAGACCGACATAGGGTTGCACGAGCACACCGGAGAGCGGGCCGGCAATCCACACGAGGGCAAGCATCGACTTGCTCAAACCGAGTGAGAGTAGGTACGGCTGTATACATGGTTAGCATATTTCGCACATGAAAACAAGCTGCGGTGGTCCGACGGATCATGCATGCATGGCTCACACAACCTCAGTGACAGTACGCCCAAGGGTCCTCATGGGCCGGATCTACATGCAGGGTCCATGTCGTCCTCGAGAAGATTCGCTTCCAGAAAAAGCACTTACGGATCCATTGGAGGTCTCTACAGACCATCCTATTTGCAGGCCCAGGCCACCAAAGGTGAGCAAGAACAGGAACCAACTGCTCTTGGTCTCCTCGACCTGTTGTTCGCCCAACCAGTCGTCGTCGTCGTCGTCAGGCGACAAGGCCTCCTTAAGGAGCGGATCGACTTCGGAAGACATTCTCTGGGGGATAATGGTGGGCGAGTTCTCGTGGATGAATTCTACGTGGGTGTGGCCCTCAGTGTCTGGCCGTCCGCCCATGAGCGAGTCGCGGCCAAAAGAAACGAGCTTGGGTCGTGGCCGCGGGCGAGTTGAAGTGTCGAGTTTAGAGGGAGGAGAGGAAAGAGGTGACGACGAGGGCGAGTCCCCGCCGTCAGGCCGTGAAGACGACATGCTGGCACAGGTGGCAGTCGCGACGGGCGTGGTGCTTGCTGTGGGCTGCGGGTGCGACGTGGTTCAGCCCTGGTGGCTTACGGGCTCGCTGTAAGGGCCGGCGAGACTGTGATTGGCAGGAGCAACGGTGGGTAACTGTGAGATGCAGAGGTGGAGAGATGTGGTGAGAGGCAGGGCTACCAACAAAAGTCAAGTGGCGCGGCGGGACTTAATCCATGCTCTTTGACCGTGAAAGAGCCGCTAGTGGAACGGCTGGTGCTTGGGGCGGCGATCGATCTCGAATCTCGACCAGAGTTCACAATCGGGGGGGTGCTACTACTTCAAAGGCAGGATGGAGGGGGCGAGACGACGGCAGGTATAACAACGGCCGGGGAGTCACGATTTAGCAAGAGGCGGTGTAGGTCATGCGTCTGCCAGCCGTCCTCGGAGAGGCTTGGTGAAGGGTCTAGCAGGTCTTGCAGGTGATTCTAGGTAGATGTCATGCAGGCGTCTTAGCCAGTGTGCGTGCGATGACGTCGTCGCATCAGCGGTTCAGGACCCTTGTCCATGGCGCTAGACCGCAAGCTGATTGGCGCTCGCTGGAACGCCATGCCGAGACATGGAGACAGCTGGACGGGGTGGAAAGGCAGCGACGCGTCTATCAGGAGCTCCGACAAGTGAATACCGTTGGCACGTCGTCGCCAGCCTCGCATCGCATCGCATCGCACCGCCCTGCCGTCGCTGCATCCCACGCTGCCAGTCCGTCGCCGTGACCGGAGCACCCCGACCGACGACTCGTTGCGCAACGTTGCCTCAGGTTGCTCCGTCCCATCCAGGCAGCCCAGGTGGCATCCCAGCATCCTATCCTCCACCACCACCAAACAGCCACCCGTACCCTCGACAGACACGCAGCTCGCCCCGCGCACACGTCCAGCGACACCGCACACAATCCCGCTGTTGATGACAGCCCGGCCTTGAGTCCACCATGGCGTCAGTAATGGGGTGGTGGGCAGTCGGCCAGCTACTCAGTATGCGCTCTCGAAGCTTCCAGAAATGCCCCCCGTCCACGTACTGACTGTTGGTCGCAGAGCGCGATGCATCCGACGCAGACCCGGACGGTCAGTTCCCCGCTCCACCATACACTCGGCGATCCCATCTCTAATGCGCCCCAACAGACGAGCCAGAGGCGGGCCAGAAGGAGATATTCACATCATGGGCCCTGTCCATTCTGATCATCCTCCTCATAATAGCCCTCTTCACCAGCTACATCCTACACACGCGCAAGATCCAGGCGGTCCATGAGACGGTCCTCTCCATTTTTGCCGGTACGTTATTTTGTGCCCACACCACCCTCGACGCCTGCTTGGGCCTTTCCGCAAGCTTGGCATCCGTTGAGACAAGCTCGGCGTAGTGCGCATGGGCAAGGCCACAAAATCCGATCACTTGCAGCCTGAAGCCCATCACCCGACTAATTGTGGGGTAATCTGCACATATCCACCCTGCCATGTCGCCTAGTCCATCTCGTAATGTGATCGCGCTATGATCCTCGCTAACGCCCTTCAGGAATGGTCGTTGGCCTGCTGCTGCGCCTGACAGCAGTCAGTTCCGTGCGAGATGTCGTCAGTTTCGACTATCAGATGTTCTTCAACTTACTGCTGCCTCCCATTATCCTCTCAGCTGGCTACGAACTGCATCAAGGGAATTTTTTCCGACACATTGGAACTATCCTCACCTTTGCCTTCGCTGGCTCCTTCATCTCCGCCGTAGTCCTCGGCGTCATTCTGTTCCTGTGGACTAGAATACCTCTCGATGGCTTCAAAATCAACTTTGTTGAGGCCATGTCCGTTGGCGCCACGCTTTCGGCCACCGACCCCGTAACCATTCTCGCCATCTTCGACACTTACAAGGTAGAACCAAAGCTATATACTCTGATCTTCGGCGAGTCTATTCTCAACGATGCCATCGCCATCGTCGTCTTTGAGACAGCCCAGAAATACAAAGACGGCGCCGAACACCTCGGCATCGGTAGCCTCTTTGAAGCCATAGGTATCTTTATGGGCGTCTTCTTCGGAAGTCTGTTTATTGGTGTCATGGTCGGCATTGGCGTATCTCTGATGCTCAAATTCACCTATGTTAGGCGATTCCCCAAGACTGAGAGTTGTCTCATCATCCTTACCGCGTACTTGACTTACTTTCTGTCCAACGCCATCCACATGTCTGGTCAGTATTACCCTCCAGTCAGTACGGCCATCAGCTAACCATTCTACAGGCATCGTTTCTCTTCTGTTTTGTGGAATCTGCTTGAAGCATTATGCCTACCACAATATGTCAAGACGAACACAATTAACCACCAAGTTCGTCTTTCAGGTTACCTCGCAGATCTCGGAGAACTTCATCTTCATTTATCTGGGCTTGTCTCTGTTCACTGACGACAAGCTGGACTACAAGCCACTTTTTATTCTCATCACCGTCTTTGGCATTTGCGCCGCTCGTTGGTGTGCAGTATTTCCACTTTCAAGGCTTATCAACTCCGTCACAAGATATCGCCAGCGCCGTCGTGGTGACGAGCTCGTAGAGGAGATTCCTTATTCCCACCAGGTTATGATCTATTGGGCAGGTCTACGTGGTGCTGTAGGTGTTGCACTTGCCGCAGGGCTCACAGGTAACAACGGCGATACTCTGCGAGCCACAGTTCTCGTTGTAGTCGTCTTGACTGTTATCATCTTTGGAGGCACCACTGCGCGTATGCTAGAAATCCTGGGCATCCGCACTGGTGTAGTTGAAGAGATTGACAGTGATGACGAGTTCGATATCGAGGTCGTTAATGGCGGCACTTACACACGCAAACAGGGCCAAGCTTATGGAAACACTCCACGCCTGAACCAAAATGGCTTTTCACTCAATAATGTCAACGGGCCAGACGCTACCTACTCAAGTGGATCAGCTAGTCGGAGCAGCCCACCAACACGACCTAACGGCGCTATGCGACGTAATTCGAGCCATCCACGTGCCAAAGACGGCGCAGACCAAAACCTACTCAGCCCCGCTGATAGTGGTTCGGCTGACGAGGATGACATCGATCTTGACCTTCCACCTAGCGCACGACGCTCGCCCAACCGCGGTCCGTCACCATTACTGAGCGACCCATCTCCATACCCGACGTCAGGCATAAGGCCGGTCGGTGCTGCAGAGGGCTCGAGTAGGGTCGCAACTGCCACAGGCGCAGTGAAGCAGCTGTTCAACGAGATCAGTCACGATCCCGCGAACGCTTTCAAGCAGATTGACGACGGCTTCCTCAAGCCGCATCTGCTGCTCGACCAAGGCAAAGGCCCAGGTCCGAGTAATGTTTGATTGTACTAGTAGACGGATGGGAAAGAAGCATTCATGGCGTTTGACTCGTCTTTGGAAATACTGGCTAGCGACTTTGTTCGCCTGGTGCATAGCGTAGTATGGCATGAGTCATGATGAAAAGCGGTCACCGCTATTTCATCTCTCAGACTCGTATATTCCATTACATGTAGACTGCAAATTCAATCCGATGCGTATTTCAATCTGACAGGGCGGGCACTCCAAAGATGTAAAGCTGAAATTGGAATCACATAGTACAACATTTTACACTCAAGCAGCAGTATCGAATCATGACACCAACGGCATTCACTATAGTAAAGGAAATTGGGAATCAAAGTAATACCTAATAGAGGCCTGATTTCATCAAACCAACACGAAAGAATAAGAAAACAACGCAATTGTCCTCGTGCTCCTTTGCCTGTTTTCCCCAACCGCCCAGTCGTCTCCCTATGGGCTATCAATGGACTCTATCTTGCACAGAAGTTGCTCGTCCTCAGAATCTTCCCATGACCCTGACGTATCGTGACTGACTTCAGAACCATGACTGGCCTAAGGTCCGGGATATCTGTCGAATCTCCAGATACGCGCACGCATGTCACCACTGCCGGTAGCGAAAACGCCTCCTGTGGGGCTAGGGGCTACAGAGATGACTGAAGGAACTTTGTTAGCGACTTGTGCAAGCCTTGAAGCTATCTCAAACGTACCTGAGTTCTTGTGTCCTTGCAACATGAGTTGCGCGACACCAGTGTGAGGGTCCCAGAACTGGACACCACGGTCTTTGGAACCACTCAGTACCCAGTCACCATGTGGGGTAAGCGCAACACTGAGCACAAAGTCCTTGTGACCCTCAAAAGTGCGGATGCACTTGCCGCTCGGCTGGTGCCCGCCTGGGACAAAGCGGTTGTTGGTTGACAACTCCCACATCTTGATTGTCTTGTCCAGACTGCCACTGACAAGACGGTTTCCGGAAGGAGCGAAAGCCACACTATAGACACTGTCCTTGTGGCCGTGCTCGCCTTCGAGGCGTACAACAAGCTGTCCAGTCTGAATGTCCCAGACGCGAACGCTCTTGTCGAGCGATCCGGCTGCAACGTAGAGGTTGTCTGGAGAGATCGCCACAGTGGTGACACCGTCCTCAATGGAGAAGTTGGAGACTTGCATGTTGGACTCAAGATCCCAAAGACGGACACTCCTATCACCACTACCAGATGCAATGATCTTGCCGTTCCTGGCAAAGTCCAGCGAGTAGATGTCCTGCTCGTGTCCAGTGAATTGGTGCTTAATGGTGCGGCTAGCGATGTCCCAAACCTAGCTAGGCGTTAGCTGTTTTCGAATTTGTTACGTGTCGAGATGACTTACCCTGATGACCTTGTCCTCAGCACCGGTTGCGAGGTATTGCCCGTTAGGACTGAAGCAAACACTCCTGATGTACAAATCGCCATCCTCGGGAAGGCTTCCGTCCTGAAGATGCGCGACAGGGTTACCAGTCTCGACATCGAAAATCTGGGCCGAGCGGTTGCAACCAGTCGCAACCCACCTACCATCCAAACTGAAGCGTACACAGCAAACCACGCTCTGATGTGGCAAGTTATGGATCAAGTCGACATCAAGCACGCGCCTGGAGCGAGGGTTGAAGACAGCAAACCAATCGCTGCCCTCCTTCTTCAGGTTCT